CCCCCCCCCCCCCCCCCCCCGTTCTTCCTCAATATTTGCAATTATCTTTTCTTAGAGAGGGACTTCCTTGTTCCATGCCCTAAAGGTAAAAAAGAAAAAAAAATTAAGGTATGTATATATTCTACCTCCAAACTACATCAGTTTGCTTCTAAAGGAAGACTAGATATCAGTGATTGCCTTTTCCTATTGTAGACACCAATGGTTGATATTAGAAGTATGTACTCAACTTCCCAGCAAGTTTAAAGCGTGCATGAATGATGCTGGGCTTCAGAATATCCCAGCATAACAGATAAGAGTACCATATGAAGCTCATATCACATTTTCAGTGTACTCTTGTAACTACATTGTTGAATGTATCCAAGAAATATCAACTATTTCTGTGAAAGATATAAGTAGTATTTTGGGATTATGCAAGTTTCCTTGATGCTTTTTCTAAAAGCTGATCAGCAATTAAAGGTTTAAGACCAATGTTCAAACAATCTGGCTTCAGGACTGATGCAAATTTTCACTAGTAAGACACTTCAGCCTGTTTCCAACATTCCTTACACTTTCAAGATGAAAGTCTAATACTTTGTCTAATATATGACAGAGAGACTATCTTTGGCTCTTATATTTTCTGATGGAATATTTGAGTTTTTTACTATACTAACTTGTCCTTTTTCAGAAAGAAATCTGATCTTTTAGGTAGCTTCTTGTATCTACTGACCCTTTTCAATTTATAACCTTTGACTCTCACCGAAATGTACAAAAGCAAAGCATATTTATTGCTGAATCTACTTCATTCTAATTTTTCCCTCCACTGTTTTTCCTGGTCTTCCTCCAAAATAGCCAGAAGTTCCTATCCCATAAAGTTGGAGATCTTAAAAATTATAAATGTACATTTGTGTTATATCAAATTACAAATCATTCAGGCTGAGATACATGAGCAGCTTAAATAAAAGTATATACTGTAGAGTGACACAGGACCCAGCACTTTAAAAAGACAGTAAAGCAGTCTGGAAAGCAGCTAGACTAAAACAAAACAGGTTTTGGTGTGGGCTTCCTCCCCCATCCTTACATTAAACAAAGAAGGAACCTAACCTGGTCAAAGCTACACTGGCATTCTTAGCAAAGTGATTAAGTGCTCAAAGTTTAGCTTGCTTCCCACCCCCCACCTTGTCTGCATACATAGCATTTGTTATTATTTCACAAACTGTCTGATATCCCTGCAGTTCAAACCAAGAAAGATTAGTCCCCAAGATAGAAAAAATGCTTGTAACAGTCATTTTTGTAGCTTGTCACTGTATACCAACCTTTGTGTACACTGTGTTTAGGCAGCTCCCACATTTCTATTTCTTCCACCTCATGTCTCATGTCTCTGCGTTTTGAAGGTGGCTTGCCCATTCTTTTCTTCTTTGGTTTAATCAAAGGTGGGTACACTAAATAATGAGATACAAATGGTGTTATTTCTCCAATGCATAGTCTCAAGGCAGATTTAACCTTGACTTTCACTAGCTGGTGTTCTCTTTCTCCCTCCCTTTTTTGTACTTGTTTTAATAGCAGATAAAATGGACACTACACATGTCAAGCCAGTCTTACACATCTACAATATTTAATCAGTGTCTAACCATAATTCTGGATGCATTGTATTTTGGGCCATAATTTGGATAGGTGTTAATGTGGTAAAGAAGGAGCCTTTTATCCAAGTCCATTGGGATAATTCTGCTCTAGTTCACTTTTCAAGTGTTCAAGACCAGTTGGTGCCATCCAAGTGACCCAATTCATTCACTGTCTTCAAAAAACTTCAGACCTGTGAAGTTATGTATTACAAGTACACTGCTCAGGAAGTCAAATTGAGTGTATCATATTACTGCTAAAGCAATGTATCATGTTTAGACAAACCACCTTACTTGCAGGGCACTTGAATTTGAAAAATCAAATACTAATATTGGCAACATTTTTAAAGAGGATATAATTTTAATAGCACTTTTGAGGCATCCAATGGCACAAGCAGCGTTCAGAAACCACCAGTTCCTGCTTCCTAATACTGAATATGATAACTTCTTCAAACTACCTGGACTGGAAAAAGAGGAAGAATAAGCAAGGAATAGACCAAACATCCTCAAGTTTGCTGTACTATCTATGAATTCAAAGGTTTAGAAGACACATGCTAAAAGTGAAAGGTAACTTATTTTAGAACTATTACCATATTTTTATATGTTGCTGTAGAGGAGCCAAGAACAATGCTGCTAAAGTAAAATGTTTTCAACTTTTATAGTGCATGCTAGCATTAAAAAACAAAATAGGAAAGCAATGCAGACAAAGAGCTCTAAGGAATACACTGTCTACTTGGCTGTTGATGTAGGAAAGCTGATGTATATTATCAGTGAACTGAAGAAAAAAATCATACTGTTCTGAAGACAGCCTCACACCCCATCATTTGATAGACTGATCCTGAGATTCTTGAAGTGTTCAAGAGGTACATGACCCAGGAGAGTGGCAATACCCACATTACAGTAAATTCTGTAGCTGTTCCAACAGCACCTACACTCAAACACTCTTGAAAAGCATCAAAACCAGATCTGAACACCAAGTAAAACATTAACTGTAAAGAAAAAGCAAAACATTCTGCTTCATGAGCTAAGAAAATATCTAAGCTTTTACTTTGTTAAAATAACTGATTTCTTAATGTTTTCCTTAACTAGATCACAATGATTTGTACTAAAACATTCTTTAGCAGTGTCAGGGAAACTGTTGGTCCATGCTAGTTTTTCTGAGCATTGGCATATGAAGCTACAACACAGAACTCCCTATATGTTTTACTGATCAAAATTAGGAGCTACCACTGCATATGCTATTAAAAAGTAGCATTATCTGGATAAAAAAATTAATATTACAGTTAATGGCAATAACAGCTTGGCACAAATGAAGGCTTTGCTTTGGCCACATCAAAGCTTTCAATGCTTTGATTTCCTATAATACCTTTAAAAAAAACCCCAGAAGTAGCTCTGATGCACCCTTATTACCTTGTTTTGGTTTGAGAAGGCTATAAATATTTCCAAGATATACTGACGCAGTTCATCAATATCAAAGCAGCAAGGATTAGTTTTATTATTTTCAAATCTTCTACAATTATCATATGCTTGCTATTTTGTATCATATCCTTTTGAATGTTCCTTAAGAACAAAAACACAGAGGAAAAGTTGTACCTTGTTCTTTGCTCTTTGCTGGAGGTGAGAAACTACCACGTATTTGGCTGGTAAATCTGGGTTTAGCACCACTTCTAATCCAGTACTCTTCGGGTGGAATCCCCATGTTCTCCCTTAACAGCCTTCCTAATTGAAATTAAAAAAAAATAAGGTCAGTATTTAGTCTTGGTAATGCTGATGTATTGTTTGATCCACAAGCCAGAATGCAAAGCCAGCTACTGGATCTGATTGTAGGAATAGAAAGTTTTCTGGAGATCACACTTAAAAATTATAAGACACTTTAAGTCTACAGAGTTTAAACAACAAAAATGTTTAAGAACACTAATCCTGCTATTAGAAGTAAGTCATGCTGTTTTGGTTGTTTTTCACAAGACAAGACTGTACTAAACAGCAGCCACCTACTGAAATGACCACCTAACCAGTTGCAAACTGATAACTCTTACTCCCAGTTTTGATTAATCCAATTTCTAAGAATATCTACCTTTGATTAAATAAAATGTCCTTTTCCAGGTCAAATTTAATACAATTTCACACCAATTTTCTGAAAATACAAAACTTCTTTTCCTAAAAGAGAGCAGCAGCTACAATTAAAAATAAAATAAGATTGTTTGACTCCTCTACTGCAGGCAAGTCACACAGGGTCTGTCCAGCAGATTAGAATTAATTTAATTCTGTTTAATGCACCCAGCATTAGTCTGTGATAGGAGAGTCAGACTGTATAAACTTAAATGCAGAGCTTCTAAGATATTAAGCAACAGTAAATACATAATCCAAATTACCTTAAGCTTTACAAATTAATAAATTGCCACCAATGTCAGAGAGTTAAGTATATCAAATCTAACACAAAGGAGTTTCTGCATTATTCTCTGCTGGTTGTGAAAATACAGAGTTCTCATGCAACAGGTAAAAATTTGCAGCAAACTTCCTCTTCCTCAAAAAAGTGGATGCTTCCAAAAAAGTATTCTGCATGACTTCTGGCTCTTGGCCAAATTTGAAGCTACAACATGCTCTAATCTTCCCACTAGTTTAAGCTACAATTTGAAACTGCAATTAGGTGTTCTTTGTGTATGCTACTAATCAGCATTTTGTCCTTAGCAATTAGCTCACCTCCCAAGAATTTCCGTAGCATTCGCTGGTGTTCAAGTCCTTCTCTTCTTGTCATAGGCCTCTTTCTTCCATAGTACCCATAGTCACTGTATACAACTTCATCTTGTTCTCTCTTCTTTGGCTTGTAAACTACACCAATGTTTTCAACAAACCCACTCCTAGTTTTTATTTTCTCTTGAGCTGGCCAGCTAATTAATTGTGCTGGTACAGCATTTTTAGGTGGTTTCCAAAGCACACTCTCGCCAACTTGGTAGAAATTTCCTTTATTTGGCCTCAAGATGCCATATGGAGGGGCTTCTTGAAAGAAATACTCCATTTCATCCATGTCATCATCCTCTTCCTCCTCATACTCATCCTCTCCATCTTCATCTTCCTCTTCTCCCCTCACAGAATATTCTTCAGAGTCCTCAATTTCTGACAAACTCCTAGTTGCTTTTTTGTTGAGAGAATCTGTTTCTTTCCTACTAGAGGACCTAGAAAGGGCTCCCAGCTTTCTACCTTTACTGGAAGCCTCTTTGATCTTTGTGTTTGAAGAGTTGACATCTTGGTCATTCAAGCTGTTCACCTGCTCTTTTCCTGACACTTCATCTACATTAAGGGACCCACCACTTTTAATTTGCTCTTTCTCTAAGCCCTCTGTACTTTTCTGAAAGGTATACATGCTTTTCTGAAGCACATAGTCAGGCACAAAATAAGACACTGGGGCATTATCAATTGATGAGCCTTCCTCTCTAGAGGACATGTCATCAGAAGACAGACTGATTACACTTTGATGCTTCCTTTGTGGCAAACAAACATCATAATTCGTGTCCATACTGTCCAAACAAGCCAGCCAGCTGCTAGAGGGAACAAACTTCTCAATTGATTTGTCACACCAAATACCTTTTTCTGTCTGACTTTCATTGGTTGCACTGTGGCTTAAATTCAGCTTTTTCTGCTGAAAGTCACTCATTACCTCCACATTAGATGGAAGTAGTCCTGCTTGTTGAACAAAGCTGGGGTCTTCTTGAGAAGTTTTTGATCCTGCAGACCTTTTAGTGCTAGATTTCTTCGTTATTACCACTGGTTGATCTACACTAACAGATCTTGCCAACTCTGTGATTTGCAGTGCCATGGTTTCACCTGGAGGGGATTTTGCCAGCTTTTCTGCATCCAGCTTCACTTCGTTATTTTGGACATCTTTCTCTTGCACAGTTTCAGTACTCAGTTTGGAGGTGACAACAGCTTTTCTCTCATCTAAGGAAGCTCCTGGCAGCATATTCTCCCCTTCACGAGGGCCATATATCATGCCTTCACATGAGCTAACAGAAAATAAGTCATGTGGCACTATGTTCTCTGGAACTGGTTTACCACTTGCCACATCATACAATGGGATTGTTTCTTTAAAGGACTTCCACAGCTGAATAGCTGGAGAGCCATTTCCGTATTCAATCCTCACTTCTTCCTTCTCAAAGGCATAGCTTCCAGTAGGAAGATTTCTATACTGTGTAGAGCTGGCAGGGTTCTTATTATGAAACTCTCTGTCTACCACAACAGAAGAGCCAAATGAATCTTGTTTCTCTGAAGTACTTTCAGCCTCTGTACCTATACCAGGAGAAACACAGCCTATATTTCCTGCATCACAACCTTTCGTTTCTGTACGGATATCTTGATGCTTTTTTTGCTTGCTTTCAGGCTGTCTAGGATCAGTCTGTGTTTCTTTTGTCTCCATTTTCTTCCCAGGGCTATTATAATGTCTAAATCTTGTTGCATGATAAAACATAGGGGAAGGTGGGGCAGCATTAAAATAAGGCCTTCTGTTAATTCTTGCATGCACTGGATGCTGTGGAACAAAAAATCCAGGGTACTCATGGAGTGCAACAGAATAAAATGGAAAATACGGATTTCCACTTCGGAAGCCTAGACATTGGTGACAGAAAGAAAAGACAAACATATCATCTTTCTAAAGTAAGTCATTCTGAAACATATTTACTTGCGTCGACAGGGACAGCTACAAGGTCAGACACATCAGTAAATAAAACATGCTGCCTTTCAATGCTTAGAAGCAAATCTGGTGCAAAAACTCAGAGAGGGAGTTCTTTGTTAGGGAATAGCTTATCTCAACATCTATGCTTCAACTAGAGCTTGATTTCATCCCTTGGAACATTCACCAAGTTGTTTTCTGTATTTTTTTGGTTATTTTACAGATTATTGCTATAGCATTGTCTTGGAAAGACAGCTCTAGATAGAAGTCCACATAGGTATAGTGCCTACAAGGTATATTTAACAATATTTTTCTTATTTTCTTAAGCTTACGTTTATCCATACCTATCATGCATGCACACGTGGAATTCATATATACCCACACATTAATTGCTAAGTATATTCTAGAGCTCTGTGTTTGCAGGATGACCATTACTTAATATTTTTCTCAACTTCCATTCTCCAGAAGCAGATGTTTTCCACCACACAAGCTACATATTTAAGGCAGAATCAATGCAGTGCTGCAGTCATCAAAAATCTGATTTACTAAGTGTTAGTTAAACTCCCAAAAGGCTCATTAACACAGATACTGCAAGAGTGGAGGAAAGAAGTATGTAACTAACTAAGCAAAGATCCCACAGAGAGCTGCTGTTTACCTTACCTGGAGCAGGTACACAGTATGGGCTGTACGCATGACTGAGGTACCATGGATTTGGATAAGGCTGTTGAGCTGATGGCTGCGCATAAAAAAAGGGTCTTGGGTGGTTTGTGGAATATGATCCACTTTCCGAAGTTGAGGCAGTATTCATTTTTCTTTAAACACTGAAAGAGAGACGTGATCATTATCAACCACTTTAAAAGCTACATGACTTAATTATTTTCATGCTCTGTCATAGTTTAGCAGACATTCCTCTCCCTGCCCAAAGAAAACATATCCTTCCAAAATAAAGCTGCTGTCTTCTAAACAGAAGGTAAAAAACTGACATTGCTATCAAGGTCAAATATTTCAGCTGGGCTTTGCTAGGCAAGCTTTTGTACACAGCTCTCAATATTAGTCCTTCAAGGCACCCTTGTAACATACTCTACAGCTGCAGAACTTCAGTAGTCTTTGATGCATACATCTCTGTAACTAATATCACAGCCAATTAAATAAAAAAGCCTTCAGTGAATTAGCCTTGAGCCAGAGCCCACATACATGCAAAAAGGAAGGAAAAAAAAAAAAAGGCAAGGCTTCACACAATCAGACATTCAATGCTTCACAAAGAAAACACTTAATGCTAATGTATGTGTTGTTACACATTACAATAAGAGCTGCATTAATTCAGGGTTTGTACTTTATACTATACTTAAGAACAATGACAGCTAGCTAACATAGTAAACCAAGCATTTCAGTGACACCCAGCTTCCTACGCTTAAACCAAATGATAGGTAGCAAAAACAACCCCGCCAAAATCCTTATGTGTAAGTTTGCATTCAAAGCCACATAAGATTCACAAGACAGAACTTCCTCCCACACTTAGATGTCTCCTCAGTTAACTAATACTTGCAAGCAATACAACACTATCACACATAGCTTATGAGCAAGACTATAAGAAATCACAGAACATAGAAGCTTAACTCTTTAGAAGACTTAAGTCCTACAAAGTTATAATAAGATAAAATTATTCTGAGACCTGTTACAAACTAGCACACAGTTCAGCCTAGAGTTTCAGAATGCTTTAGGAACACTGGAGCTCTCTTCAGTTTCCATCTAGGGTGGCCTGTGTAGCTCTTAAAAGCACCAAAAAGCCTACAGACTTCCTCAGGCCAAAGAATTACTTTGACCTTTGAAAAGGAGAGTGGTGCAAGGAAGAGAAAAAGAAAAAAACCCACAAAACCAAAACCCCCTACAAGGACTAAGCTATTCCTATCCCCTTAGACCCCAAAAACTCATGTCTAATGCTGCTGCTGCTGCTTACAGCCCAGCAAAACACTAACCGAGTCCTTTGCTCACCCTCTTTATGGCAGGCAGCTGCTACTTGTCCACTCCTCCTCCCACCTGAGGCTCATTTAACAGTGATGCAGGGAACGTTTTTCCATCAACGTGTGGGAGGAAAATAAAAACACAAGGATAGGAATAGTTGTAAAAGCCTTCAGCTGGTGTACAGAAAGCTGGCAGTCTCATCTTGCAGATGTTTAAGCTGCACCTCTAAGTAAATCTGGTATTTCTCTTTTGTGATGTTGGAAATTACTTTTTTTATTATTATTTTAGAAAAGAAAGGGAAACATTACCAATCTTCTGAGTCAAACTGCAGTTAAAAACACTTCTTTCAGGAAAAAAAAAATCAGAAGACACAAGGCCAAGTTTACATTTACTTTCAGCATTTACCAGTTGCTCAGTATTGAGTAAAGGGAGCAATGCTGTTCTATTCTAAAATGGCTGAGGGGGCTGACAAATGTAATGTTATTTCCATATCAGCAGGAGAAACACTTCTTCCTGTACAGTGTACTCCACTGTGTGTCATGGGAATTTATGAAATGTGAGGCTGCAATTTGACTCTACCCTACATCTTTATAGGAGGTGAGAGTCTGAGCTGCTGCTTTGGAATTGCACACCTCCAAATGAGAGACCACTGGTAGTGGGGCAGATGGAAGGAGATGAAAACACAATGCATGTGCTATGCAGGCTGATTAGGGAAAAACAAGGGGTATGGATGCTGAGAGACTCTTTGTATTCCTGTGTTGGGAAGTTCCCAAAATGTATTTGTTTTTTCTTTCTATAATGATCAGGTTAAACACATCCTTTGTACTAAAACACAAACTATCTAATGTTTGAGAAGGGTTACTGATCCATTCCTTGCAGACCTTCCCAGCCAAAGCTCATCCTTTCCACTGACAGCAGCACTTTTACTTTGTATGACTTGTAGTGAGAGGACAACGAGCAACAGATACAAAGTGAGATGGGAAATTTAGGCTAGACATTAGTAAGAAATTCTCTGTTGTGAGGGTGGTGAGGTACCGGAAGAGGCTGCCCAAGGAGGTTGTTGGATGCCCTATACCTGGGAGTGTTCAAGGGCAGATTAGATGAGACTTTGAGCAACCTGACCTAGTGGGAGGTGTCCACGCCTATGGCAGGACTCTTGGTGGATGCACCCAGAGAGAAATAAAGAAAATAAGTAACACTGGATGGCTTCTAAAAACGTGTATGTTCTCAGGATTTCCCTTTCTCTCATACCTTACTTCAGCCTCCTGTGCCCCTGTCACTTCCTTCCATCCTGAAGGAAACTACAGTCCCCACAAACCTCAGGCGAACTTTGCTTTTAGGGCAGCAAAACTACACTTGGCCATAGGACACTCCAGGATTCCAGGAGGGTCGAGGGACCAGGGGGAGAGGCTGTTAACCCTGAAGCCCACAGGCCTCCAGGTTGCAGCAAGTTTGGAGCACAAGTCCTGTGAGGAGCTGGTGTTGTCCGCCCGGAGAAAAGGAGGCTCGGGGAGGATTTTATCGCTCTCTACAGCTCCCTGAAAGGAAAGTGTAGCCAGGCGGGGGTCGGTCTCTTCTCCCAGGCTACCAGCGACAGGATGAGAGGAAACAGCATCAAGTTCCACCAAGGGAGCTTTAAGCTAGACATTAGGAGGAATTTCTTCCCAGCAGGAGTGATTAGACATTGGAATGTGCTGCCAGGGGAGGTGGTGGAGTCTCGGTCCCGGGAGGTGTTTAAGGGAAGACTGGACGTGTCACTCAGTGCCGGAATGCGGTTGACAGGGCGGTGTCCGGTCACAGGTCGCACTCTGTGACCGCGGAGGCCTTTCCCGATGGATTCTGTGGCTCTGTGGGCCGCCGCTCCCAGCAGAGGGCGCGGGGGGTCTCGCTCCACCGGGCGGGCGGCGCCGCTGCCGGGGCGCGCGGCCAGGGGGCGCTCGCGGGCGCTCGCAGGGGCAGGAAACCGGGGGCGGGCCCGGCCGCTCCCCAGCGCCTCGCGCCGAGCATGCGCACACGGGGCGGGCGCGGCGCTCCGTAACGGCGGGCGAGGAGGAGGAGGAGGAGAGGGAGGAAGAGGTGGGGGGGGGCGGCAGCAACAGCAGCGACGCCTGCGCGCCCAGGGGCCGCCGCCGCCGCCTCCGCCTCCGCAGCCTGGGAGAGAGACCGGATCCGCCGCCGCATCCTTCTCCTCCCCCACCGCCTCCCCGCGGCCGCCCGCGGTCGGGACGGCCAGGCACGAAAGGAAGCGGCGGCCGGAGGTTTGTCCGGAGCGGAGGGAGGGGGAAGGATGGCGGTGGTGGTGGTGGTGCTGCTGCTCCCGCGCTCGTGTCCCGCCGCTCCGCGGCCACCGGGCCCTTTCCCGTCCCCGCGGGGGGAGCGACCGCCCCGAAGGGGCCTCGGTCCCGG